AGAATTTGAAATTTTTTGTAAGTTTATTCTTTTCATTGACTCATCCTATGTTGTAGATGTATGTTAATTTCGAATTCACTTCTTAATAATTCTTTCTAAACTTAAATTTCTTTTACTAGAGTCTAAGCGAAGATACGCCATATATAATATCTAAAACAGAATATAACGAATATTCAATTCGATATTTATTCTTTTTATTTATGTTTATATAAATTTTGCACACTATAGAGTATTTAAATTGTTGTGTTGGCCTTTGACCAATTTATATACATCACTTTGACAAATACTATAGTACTGTGGTTATGGCATGTACAATTTTTTTGAACCGCTATATTGTTGAGTGTGCATTTTTGCGCGAGTGACAATCATTTCACGGATATTGAGCAGAATGAACCTATTGTATCTACTTATGGCAGCCTATGAACATCGTTTCAAATTCATCACAAGTATAGACTGCGTTCCGTAACTCACTGCCAGTATTGGCAGTACTGTAACGCCGTTCCGAAATTCATTCCATTGTGCTGCGATAGCATTACGATAGAATAATGACGTCATAAATTTTGTCGTCACTTCCTGCTGCGATTACTGTAGCTAAACGACGCAACAGTCACAATACAAAATTCGACATTCAAGAAAGAACAGTTAACCCTACTCGATGCAGAAACAAATATTCAATATAAAATAATAATAAATAAAAAAGACGCACAAAAAGCATTGCGAGGTAAAAATAAAGTTTGATATTTATATTAGCAAATTCGATCATTTGCACTACACCAAGTTTATATAAACATTACTATGTACGAAATTATTGCTTTAATTGCTTTAATTGCTTTTCAGGAGAGATCGTGCATCTACCTGATTTTTCATCCCTTTCTAAGATTGGCTCTATTAACTCCAATATAAAAAAAAATGTATTCCGATGTAATCTAAAATAAATATATTTTAGAAACAATGAAATTATAGAAACAATTTATCATACTGTAAGAATTAGACGACCGTAAGCGGTCATAAAAAGAGATTCGGAATATAAACAGCTAACAGAGAGGAGCCGTCGTGGTCGTGCAGACTAAGTGTCGGATTGGTAGACGAGGGATCCCGAGTTCAAATCCAGTCGGTCTCCGTTAATTTTTTCCGAATCTAATAGATATCTTTCAATCTCAGAAGTGGGATTCAGCCCATGTTACCTCAGAGAGAATACAGCCTATGTTATCTGACAGGGAGAATTCAGTCGATTTTGTGTGTGTCGTTTGTGTGTTGTTCGAAATGAACCAAGTCGGGGAATTAAAATACTCCAATGTCGTGTCGATCGTTCAAAAGTGAACGGAAAAAGTCGTGGAGTTAAAATACTTCAATGTCGTGTCGGTCGTTCAAAAAGTGAACGGAAAAAGTCGGGGAGTAAAGTACTCCAATGTCGTGTCGATCGTTCAAAAAGTGAACGAATTCGGGAGCAGAAGCTCCAAGTTTCGGATAAAATTCCGATAGATGAAGACTCGGTACATTCAGGATGAATGTAATGCCAGAATGGCCGAGCTGTAAGAATTAGACGACCGTAAGCGGTCATAAAAAGAGATTCGGAATATAAACAGCTAACAGAGAGGAGCCGTCGTGGTTGTGCAGACCAAGTGTCGGATGGGTAGACGAGGGATCCCGAGTTCAAATCTAGTCGGTCTCCTTTAATTTTTTCCGAATCTAATAGATATCTTTCAATACAAAGAACTAAAAAACAAAAGAACTACAAAGAACAAAAAGATTATAAAAATATACCGAAAGTGAATTTTTAATCTTTATTTGTATATCGAGATACTACATCTTCTATGACGTATTTTAGATATAGAATTTGATCTACTTTTTTTTTAA